GGGAAGGAAGGGGGTGGTGGCGCAAAATTTTGGTGCTGCCCAGCACAAAATCTAAATACACCATTAGCCACAGATGCGAGGCATTGGCCTCACTACAGTCAGGTCCATAAATATTTGGGACATTGACACAATTCTAACATTTTTGGCTCTATACACCACAATGGATTTGAAATGAAACGAACAAGATGTGCTTTAACTGCAGACTGTCAGCTCTTAATTTGAGGGTATTTACATCCAAAATCAGGTGAACGGTGTAGGAGGAATTACAACAGTTTGCATATATGCCTCCCACTTGTTAAGGAACCAAAAGTAATGGGGACAGAATAATAATCATAAATCAAACTTTCACTTTTTTAATACTTGGTTGCAAATCCTTTGCAGTCAATTACAGCCTGAAGTCTGGAACGCATAGACATCACCAGACGCTGGGTTTCATCCCTGTGATGCTCTGCCAAGGCCTCTACTGCAACTGTCTTCAGTTCCTGCTTGTTCTTGGGGCATTTCCCCTTCAGTTTTGTCTTCAGCAAGTGAAATGCATGCTCAATCGGATTCAGGTCAGGTGATTGACTTGGCCATTGCATAAACATTCCACTTCTTTCCCTTAAAAAACTCTTTGGTTGCTTTTGCAGTCTGCTTTGGGTCATTGTCCATCTGCACTGTGAAGCGTCCAATGAGTTGTGAAGCATTTGGCTGAATATGAGCAGATAATATTGCCCGAAACACTTCAGAATTCATCCTGCTGCTTTTGTCAGCAGTCACATCATAAATAAATACAAGAGAACCAGTTCCATTGGCAGCCATACATGCCCACGCCATGACACTACCACCACCATGCTTCACTGATGAGGTGGTATGCTTAGGATCATGAGCAGTTCCTTTCCTTCTCCATACTCTTCTCTTCCCATCACTCTGGTACAAGTTGATCTTGGTCTCATCTGTCCATAGGATGTTGTTCCAGAACTGTGAAGGCTTTTTTAGATGTCGTTTGGCAAACTCTAATCTGGCCTTCCTGTTTTTGAGGCTCACCAATGGTTTACATCTTGTGGTGAACCCTCTGTATTCACTCTGGTGAAGTCTTCTCTTGATTGGTGACTTTGACACACATACACCTACCTCCTGGAGAGTGTTCTTGATCTGGCCAACTGTTGTGAAGGGTGTTTTCTTCACCAGGGAAAGAATTCTTCGGTCATGCACCACAGTTGTTTTCCGTGGTCTTCCGGGTCTTTTGGCTGTTGCTGAGCTCACCGGTGCGTTCCTTCTTTTTAAGATGTTCCAAACAGTTGTTTTGGCCACGCCTAATGTTTTTGATATCTCTCTGATGGGTTTGTTTTGTTTTTTCAGCCTAATGATGGATTGCTTCACTGATAGTGACAGCTCTTTGGATCTCATGTTGAGAGTTGACAGCAACAGATTCCAAATGCAAATAGCACACTTGAAATTAACTCTGGACCTTTTATCTGCTCATTGTAATTGGGATAATGAGGGAATAACACACACCTGGCCATGGAACAGCTGAGAAGCCAATTGTCCCATTACTTTTGGTCCCTTAACAAGTGGGAGGCACATATGCAAACTGTTGTAATTCCTACACCGTTCACCTGATATGGATGAAAATACCCTCAAATTAAAGCTGACAGTCTGCAGTTAAAGCACATCTTGTTTGTTTCATTTCAAATCCATTGTGGTGGTGTATAGAGAGCCAAAAATGTTAGAATTGTGTCGATGTCCCAATATTTATGGATCTGACTGTATGTGCCCGGTCAGAAGAATATTTAGGGAAAAATCAACTTGTCCAGGACAATCCTCGATGACAATGAATGGTCCAGACTGCTGTAAGTCTTTCGAGAACCAACGGGCTTGGTAATTCCTGTTCACATCCCCAGTCAACACCAAGTTGCTTAAATTCTATTCCAGGGTCCCATTCATCCAACACCTGACAGGCTCAAGCTCATGGCTTGGGTCTTGAGAGGCAGAGGCTAATAGATCTCGGGTGCTCTGTAAAGGTTGTGAATACTCTTATGAAAGCAAAGAAGAACAGTACTAACAGTATCTTAAGTAGAATATGACAGAAATTCTCAGGATTGCTGCTGATCAAGGTTTTACACTGGGCTCTTCACAAGTCTGTCACTTTCTGACGTTTCTGTAGGCAGGGGCTTGATTTATGTTTATGCATAAGTAACGCTATGGGCCCAAATTTCAGATATCTCTGCGTTCACCGGCATACAGTGGGCAACCAACACTCAATTATACTGTCCTTCAAGCTGCAACTTGGTTGAAACCTACCTAAGGGATTGTTGTTTTTGAAGTGGGATCTCCCTACTGGTGTTGGACTTGTTTGCAATCAGATGCCTTCAATCAAAGTGGCCCCCTGTGGTACCTCATGCTGAAATATGCTTTCGTGGTGGTGGCAATTACATCAACCAGAAGAGTGTTCATATTAGTGGTCCTGGAGTTAAAGAACTCTTTCTTACATTCATTCCGAATAGGGTGGTACTCATGCAGATGCTCAATGATCGTGCCTAAGTGGCCTTCAGAGTCCATATCACATGAAAAGTTGTCCTTCCTACACCCCTGTTGGAGTACTCAAGAAGTTAGCCCATCAGCTGTGGATCAAGCTTTAAAATGTTGGGTCAATCTATACATTCATGGCTCATTACTGTATAGAAGCCATCCTAATAACAGTTGAGTTTGGCAGAGGCATTCTGGCTTTCTGCTTTTAGCCAGAATTGAGGAGTGTGTGGCATTATCCCTCCCCTGTGTGTCTAGTTAGTTCCCAGCTGTGCCGACATGGAGCTATCAGGAAAATGGAAAATGGAATGACAGATACTTACAGTAATTTTCTTTTCCTGACGAGCTCCGTGTCAGCACAATCCCCTCCCAGCTTGGTAGGACTAGTGACAGAATGCCAAGGCTGCAGGTGTGCTCCAATTTATGAGTTAGGTCCTGGAAGCATGGGGGCGCGGGGCCCTTACCCAGCTGTGCTGGCATGGAGCTGGTCAGCAAAGGAAAATTACTGTATCTGTCATTCAATTTTCCATTTTTTTTTACAATTTTTTTTTAATAATTTTTTTTAAAATGCTGTCACCAGAGCAGTGCACTGTCATCATAGTGAAACTGTATTGCCCTGGAGGGTGATCAGGTTTTTTACATTATGATTGCTTACACAGTCATGACCACTGTGTATGCAAGAACTGTGCAATGCACCATTCATCTGCATTCATGCAGACTTTGTTTACTACTGTGATCACTGTGATTGGTCACAGGAATCACACGGTGCAGGGTCAATTTAATTGGCCCTGTACATGTTATTGCTGTGACCAATTACCGAGATCACAGTAGTAAACAAGGGATAATGTATGACAGCCTATTTTTAACACTGTTACTGTGATTGGTCAATGACATTGGCCCTTTTTTCTGATCTGTGGTTTGCTGTGCCTGAGGGACACATAGATTGCAGATTGAACTGCTGCACTACCCTGAGGACATCTTCCCAGAACAACACTTAATACTCGGGGAAAGCTGCACATGCACAGATGTACAGGGAAACCCACGCATGCACAGGCCCTGTGTCACATCTGCACACATGCAGAATCCAATGAATGTGGGGAAGGAGGAGGAGGCAGGGCAAGATGAGTAGGTTTAGGGTGAGGGTCCACTTTAACTATATTTTATGAAATTAAGCCATGACCACTGTTTGCCACATCACATGCATAACTGCACACTGAGGTGTCCCTCTTTTTCAGGCTCTAAAGTTGGGAGAAATGAGCACACACTGTACAAAACACAATGCATGCACAATGAACACAGTATAGAGCAAATACAGCAAGCGGCATACCTATTTATATCATATATAACACAGAATATACACAGCACACAGTACAGATGTATGCAGCATACAGCACACAGAACATACACAGCATTCACAATACACAGCATACCCAGCACAGAGTACACACATACCCAGCACAGAGTACACGTACTACAGAATGTACATACAGTAGCTTCCAGCATACATAGTTACATAGTTAGTCTGGCTGAAAAAAGACAAAAGTCCATCCAGTTCAACCATAGAAGAAAAAAAAAAAAAGTTATAATCCAATACCCTAGTTGTAATAAAAATGCTGGGTGCAATAACTAAAAACAAGTCCTATACACGCAATCAACATGTAGTCATGCAGGTACCTTTTAATCAGCATTTAAACCATTACATATTCTATGCATGTGAAAGACCGTCTACCCAATGAACACCTGCCCTGGCACATCATAGCATTCACCCGGCACTCCAAGAAATAACAGAATCCAACTGCAAAGGTGGTCACGGAGAAGCCGTAGGTGCGACCAGTCGATGAGCCCATATAGCCTTGGTAAAAATCCCAGCACCAGAGCATCCTCTGGCCACTAAGGGGGGGCTTCTATTGGTCTCGCCCGGACCTCAGCCTTATAAACCCATTTTCTAAGCTGTCTAATAGTGGGCGGCGCCACACCCACCACGGGAGGGGCTAGCAGAAGGGTTCCGCAATGATAACAGAGTCACGTTCAACCACCATATTTGTTATCTGAAAAGTCACAATTTTGCTTCTTATCTACCCCAAAACCTCTTTTCATCTCCCCCAGACTTTCTTTCTAACTTAGATGTCGTTAACCGCCTCCGGCCCGCTATATAAGGAAATGCCGGACGCAAGGCGGTTCTCTTGTTCTGGGATATGACGTCCTCCCACTCTAACCGCATGTGTGCGCCCCCGGGTGCGCGCAGCACGGTGATCGGCGGTGCGCTGTGTCCCTGGGATACAGCGGATCACCGATCAACGGAAAGAGCAGAAGACGTCAGCTCTGTCATGTGATCAGCTGTGACCAATCACAGCTGATCGCATGTAAATTAGGAAATGCCGGTTTTCGGCATTTCTCTCCTCATGAGCTGTTACGCTGACATCTCATGAGGAGAGGAGAGCCAGTAATCGGCATTACTCAGAGGGGACATTACTCAGTGTGCCCTGATGATCAGTGTAGCCCCAGCAGTGCCACCTGTCAGTGGCCATCAATGCCAGCTGTCAGTGCCCATCAGTGCCTCATCAATGCCACATATCAGTGCCTACCAGTGCACATCAATGCCACATATCAGTGCCTATCTGAGCTGCCCTTTCAGTGCCACCTATCAGTGCAGTCAGTGCCACCTATCAGTGCCATATATGAGTGCTGCCTTACAGTGCCCATCAGTGATGCCTGTCAATACTCATCAGTGCCCATCAGTGCCGCCTATCAGTGCCCATCAGTGCTACCTATCAGTGCCCATCAGTGCCGTCTATCAGTGCCCATCACTGTAGCCTCATTAGCGCACATCAGTGAAGGAGAAAAAATCACTTATTTACAAAATTTTATAACAGAAACTAAGAAAAAATAATAAACCCAGAGGTGATTAAATACCACACAAAAGAAAGCTCTATTTGTCTCAAAATGCTAAAAAATTCATATGGGTACAGTGTTGCATGACCGCGCAATTGTCATTCAAAGTGTGACAGCGCTGAAAGCTGAAAATTGGCCTGGGCAGGAAAGTGGTATAAGTGCCTGGTAGGCGAGGGGGTTAAACAGGTTTTTATCTCCTAATGTGACATTACTAGATGTCATAAACACGTTTCATTCCATAAACAAGTTTTTATCTTGCTCTCAGCAGAACATCTTGTGACTTTGTTCCTTTGACCTAGAGAAATGACACATCAGTCACCTCTCATGCCCTTGGCATTTGGACAACAATGCTTTATTGTAAAAATAACCCAATAAACAAAGGGTCCAAGATCAACACATTTCATAGGCATTGCACTAGTCAAACACAGCATTCACAGTATAGAACGTATACACAGTCATCATGAATAATCCCTGATGGGTTGCATCAATACCAGTATCGATGTCGGTGCCGATACCGAGTGTTTGCACGAGTACTAGTGGAAATGCTCCCGATACCTGAAATTAATACCTTTGCCGTTATGATTTGAGCTCATACAGAATGAATAGGTTCAAATCACACTGCAAAGAATTGCATGCAATTTGAGCAGGAATGTAGTGCAATTCCTATCAGAAATTGAATGAGGATCCCTGTACCACTCCTGTGTGATCTTGTGTGTGTCTGTGCAACCCTAATCCCTGTAATGTGTCAAATATGTTTATTTCCTATGATCGTTGGCTCCATCTAGTGGCCATAATGCGGTATTTACCTAATTTAATTTTTCAGGAAAATTCCACAATATAGCCACTAGATGGAGCTGATGATTATAGGAAACAGGACACATTACAGGGATTATTTGTGACAGCTATGCAAATACTGGGACAATTACAGCATTTTTTTTAAAAAAATAGACCCCAAAGTGAGCACAGCATAGAGGGCACACAGCTTTCCAACCACTAGAGCATTTCTGTTACAGAATCTTAGTATGTCTGCTATTAAAAACAGGAAACCAGGTGGCTGGGGTCATGTTTTTTTCACATGCTAGTGTTTTTTATTTCAAAGATGATTTTTTTTTGCATATAGCTAGAAAGCTTAGATTGTAAGCTCCAAGGAGCTGGGTCCTCCTGTCCCTCTTGTATTAACCTGTATCTTTGCTGTATTGTCTTCCATTATATTGTAAAGCGCTGTGCAAACTGTTGGCGCTATATAAATCGTGAATAATAATAATAATAATAAAGCTGGAGCTTGGGTTGAATACCATCTTCCAAAAACAGCTAATTACATAGTTAGTCTGGCTGAAAAAAGACAAAAAGTCCACTCAGTTCAACCATAAAAAAAAAATAGTTATATTCCTACACCCACAGTTGATCCAGAGGGAGGCAAAAAAACCCAGCAAAAGCATGATCCAATTTGCTCCTACAGGGGGAAAAATTCCTTCCTGATCCCCCGAGAGGCAATCGGATATTCCCTGGATCAACTTTACCTATAAATGTTATATCCAGTTATATTCTGTGTATCCAAGAAACAATCCAGGACTTTTCCTACAGCAATCCACTGAGCTGGCCAGAGAGCCAACTCTTGAGGGAGTCTATTCCACATTCTCACAGCTCTCACTGTGAAGAGACCTTTCCGTGTTTGAAGATTAAGTTTATTTTCCTCCAGATGTAAAGAGTGCCCCCTTGTCCTCTGTGATGACCTCAGGGTGAATAACTCTACACCGAGTTCACTATATGAACCACTGATGTATTATACATGGAGATCATATCCCCCCTTATGTATATATACATGGAGATCATATCCCCCCTTATGTATTATACATGGAGATCATATCCCCCCTTATGTATTATACATGGAGATCATATCCCCCTCCTTATGTATTATACATGGAGATCATACCCCCCCTTATGTATTATACATGGAGATCATATCCCCCTCCTTATGTATTATACATGGAGATCATACCCCCCCTTATGTATTATACATGGAGATCATATCCCCCCTTATGTATTTATACATGGAGATCATATCCCCCCTTATGTATTATACATGGAGATCATATCCCCCCCTTATGTATTATACATGGAGATCACATCCCCCTTATGTATTATACATGGAGATCATATCCCCCCTTATGTATTATACATGGAGATCATATCCCCCCTTATGTATTATACATGGAGATCATATCCCCCCTTATGTATTATACATGGAGATCATATCCCCCTTATGTATTATACATGGAGATCATATCCCCCCTTATGTATTATACATGGTGATCATATCCCCCCTTATGTATTATACATGGTGATCATATCCCTCCTTATGTATTATACATGGAGATCATATCCCCCCTTATGTATTATACATGGTGATCATATCCCCCCTTATGTATTATACATGGAGATCATATCCCCCCTTATGTATTATACATGGAGATCATATCCCCCCCTTATGTATTATACATGCTGATCATGTTCCCCTTATGTATTATACATGCTGATCATATCCCCCCTTATGTATTATACATGCTGATCATATCCCCCTTATGTATTATACATGCTGATCATATCCCCCTTATGTATTATACATGCTGATCATATCCCCCCTTATGTATTATACATGCTGATCATATCCCCCTTATGTATTATACATGCTGATCATATCCCCCTTATGTATCATACATGGTGATCATATCCCCCCTTATGTATTATACATGGAGATCATATCCCCCCTTATGTATTATACATGGTGATCATATCCCCCTTATGTATTATACATGGTGATCATATCCCCCCTTATGTATTATACATGGAGATCATATCCCCCCCTTATGTATTATACATGGAGATCATATCCCCCCTTATGTATTTATACATGGAGATCATATCCCCCCTTTATGTATTATACGTGGTGATCATATCCCCCTTATGTATTATACGTGGAGATCATATCCCCCCTTATGTATTATAACGTGGAGATCATATCCCCCTTATGTATTATACGTGGAGATCATATCCCCCCTTATGTATTATACGTGGTGATCATATCCCCCCTTATGTATTATACGTGGTGATCATATCCCCCCTTATGTATTATACATGCTGATCATATCCCCCTTATGTATTATACATGGAGATCTTATCCCCCCTTATGTATTATACATGGAGATCATATCCCCCCTTATGTATTATACATGGAGATCATATCCCCCCTTATGTATTATACATGGAGATCATATCCCCCCTTATGTATTATACATGGAGATCATATCCCCCCTTATGTATTATACATGGTGATCATATCCCCCTTATGTATTATACATGGAGATCATATCCCCCTTATGTATTATACATGGAGATCATATCCCCCTTAATCTCCTCTTCTCAAGAGAGAATAAATTCAGTTCCTCTAATCTTTCCTCATAGCTGATCTCCTCCATGCCTCTTATCAGTTTAGTTGCCCTTCTCTGTACTTTCTCCAGTTCCCCAATGTTCTTTTTGTGAATTGCTGCCCAAAACTGAACTGCATATTCCAGATGAGGTATTACTGATGAATTGTAATGGGGGAAATTATATCTCTCTCGCTTGCTCGCTTTAGAAGCCGCAACTTTTCATTGCTTCCAGGTTTTAGGCTCCACGCACACGGGGGCGTTTTAATAAACACTGGTAACATTAGCTGTGTAAAGTCACATTAAAAACGCACATTTTTTCAGCATTGCATGCCACTACCAGCATTATTAAAAATGCCCAGTGTGCATGGAGCCTTATTGTGGGTTACACAGGTTGAATTCCGAAAGAATTTTCTTTCGAAAATCTTTTCAAAGAATTTTCGAAATTGACACCATTAGTGGGCCACAGAAATGGACGATTTTCGTACGACCATCGAATTTGAGTGATCGGGTATGTTGGAAATTTTTTGAAAAACAAACAAATTTCTAATCAATGATGGGAGAATCGTGCGAGAAATGTAATCAAAAAAGAAACAAGCGTGAGCTGTGACCTGGAAAGAAAAGAAAATTCGTGGCCTCGAAAAATTATTTTCTGTAGCAACATGTGAAATTGAAGGCTTGGTTGGTCGAATTTCGAAATCAATAGTGGCGCCATCAGATTACAAAACGCACTAAATTTTTGATTTTCTAAAGAAAATTAGTTCGGAATTTGACCCATTTATGTCCTGCATTAGTCACCGGTCACAACTCTGCGATTTAAAACCGTGCGATTTGTGTGTGCAATTTCAGCGAGAAATCAGATGCGATTTCTGAAGACTTTACTGCAACTTGTGAAGTTTTTCAATGATTTCTTGCAATTTGCAGTGCGTTTTCCATTGTATCCTATGTGACATCACAATAAAACTGCAGAAAAAGTAAAGCAAGAACTACTATAGAAATTGCGCTGCAGCAAATCAAACGTTAAGATACTGACACTAATACTGATGTGATTTTAGGTGCGATTTCAATTTGCAAATCGCACCTGAAATCACACTGGTATGACCGAGCACTTAGTGCCTATGAAAGGCAAGGACGAGTGGCATCCAGGGGCAGACTGACAACTCATGGGGCTGCCGGGCAATAGGCAATAGGGGATGATGGGGCCCCTGTATCCTCACCCACACCCACACCCAAAAAAGCCTATGAAAAAGGTACCAGGGGGCATCTCATGGTACCCCCTACTGACCCCGAGCCCTCGGGCAGTGCCCGAGTTCCCAAATGGTCAGTCCGCCCCTGGTGGCAGCTGTAACAGGGAGAGATGCAAGTTAAGCCTGGCAGACACTACGAGTTGTTTTTATTCCTTCAACCCAGCAGACTGAAGGAAAAAAGCCTGACATCTCAGGAGGAGCTGCTGTACTAACTATCCAATGTTCATTCAGTACTCATGGGCTCAAAATTGGAGAGATAGAAAAATGGGGTTGAGGGGGACTTCAATTTGGGGAGACATAAAAAT